GGGGGCTTTTGCCGCCTTTTTTGGGTGGGGGGGGGGCTTTTGCCGCTTTTTTTGGGTGGGGGGGGGCTTTTGCCGTTTTTTTGGGTGGGGGGGCTTTTGCCGTTTTTTTGGGTGGGGGGGCTTTTCCCGCTTTTTTGGGTGGGGGGGGGGGGGGCTTTTGCCGCCTTTTTGGGTGGGGGGGCTTTTGCCGCTTTATTTGGGTTGGGGGGGCTTTTGCCGTTTTTTTGGGTGGGGGGGGGCTTTTGCCGTTTTTTTGGGGTGGGGGGGGCTTTTGCCGCTTTTTTAGGGGGAGAGGGGGGCTTTTGCTTATTTTTTTGGTTGGGCTTTAGCTGCTTTTTAGAGGGGGGCTTTTTACTGCTGTTTTGAGGGGGGGCCTTTGCCGCTATTTTGGGTGGGGGGCTTTTGCCGCTTTTTTGGGTGGGGGGCTTTTGCCGCTTTTTTGAGGGGGCTTTTGCTGCATTTTTGAGGGGGGGCTTTTTTGCTGCTTTTTTGAGGGGGGCTTTTTGCTGCTTTTTTGAGGGGGGGGCTTTTGCTGCTTTTTTGAGGGGGGGCTTTTGCTGCTTTTTTGAGGGGGGAGCTTTTTTGCTGCTTTTTTGAGGGGGGGGGCTTTTGCTGCTTTTTTGAGGGGGGGGCTTTTGCTGCTTTTTTGAGGGGGGCTTTTGCTGCTTTTTTGAGGGAGGGGAGCTTTTGCCGCTTTTTGGGGGGGCTTTCACAAATTTTTTTTGGGGGGGTCTTTTGCTGCTTTTTTTGGGTGAGGGGGGGCTTTTGGCGCTTTTTTAGGGAGGCTTTTGCCGTTTTTTTTTTTGAGGGGGGGCTTTTGCCGCTTTTTTGGGGGGGAGGGCTTTTGCCGTTTTTTTTGGGGGGGGGTTGCCGCTTTTTTGGGGGGCTTTGCCGCTTTTTTTGGGTGGGGGCTTTTGCCTCTCTTTTATTGGGGGTGCTTTTGCCGCTCTTTTATTGGGGGGGGGGCTTTTGCCACTTTTTTGGGGGGGGGAGGGGTGGGGGGGTTCCATTTATTTTGGGGGAGGCATTTGCCACTTTTTTTTGGGGGGTGGAGGCTTTTGCCGCTTTTTTTTGGGGGGGGAGAGGGGGCATTTGCTTATTTTTTTGGTTGGCCTTTTTCTGCTTTTTTTTGGTGGGGGGGGGCTTTTTGCCGCTGTTTTTTTTTGGGGTGCCGCTTTTTTGGGTGGGGGGCTTTTGCTGTTTTTTTGGGTGGGGGGCTTTTGCCGCATTTTTGAGGGGGGGGGGGATTTTGCTGCTTTTTTGAGGGGGGGCTTTAGCTGCTTTTTTGAGGGGGGCTTTTCCCGCTTTTTTTTGAGGGGGGCTTTTGCCGCTTTTTATGGGGGGGGCTTTTGCCGCTTTTTGGGGGGGGGCTTTTGCCGCTTTTTTTGGGGGGGAGGGGCTTTTGCCGCTTTTTTGGGGGGGAGGGGCTTTTGCCGCTTTTTTTGGGGGGAGGGGCTTTTGCTGCTTTTTTCTTGGGGGGGGGGGAACTTTTGCTGCATTTTTTTAGGGGGGGGCGTTTTGCCGTTTTTTTTTTGGGGGGAGGGGCTTTTGCCGCTTTTTTTGGGGTGGAGGGGCTTTTGCTACATTTTGGGGGGGGGGGGCTTTTGCCGCTTTTTTTGGGGGGGGGCCTTTTGCCGCTTTTTTGGGCGGGGGGGGGCTTTTGCCCCTTTTTGGGGGGCTTTTGCAGCTTTTTTGGGGGGCTTTTGCCCCCTTTTTGGGGGGGCTTTTGCCGCTTTTTTGGGGGTGCTTTTGCCGCTTTTTTTGGGGGGGGGTGCTTTTGCTGCTTTTTTTAAGGGGGCTTTTGCCGCTTATTTTTTTTTTGGGGGGGGGGGGTTTGCCGCTTTCTTTTGTTAGGCATTTGGGACTTTTCAAATGTTTGTAACAAAAAAATCTATGTATATAAAACACAAAGTCCTAAAACGGTGCCTTGTGGCACTTGTATGGTTAATGGAAGAGTGGGAGCGGTCATGTTAATGACTACATACGTGCGTGTAGACTATCACCGGTAATATTGGTGTCTTGTTGAGAAAGTTAGGATCGGGTATAGTTTAAAGACCTCGAATTTCATAGTTAATGAGCTTAAGTAGGTGCTTATTGTGATGTGTGGAATCGTAGTAGTAGGCAAACATCAGTCTCGGGTGACTATGGTGTTGGGCTCTGTTTGTCGGTCTGGAGTGGTCTCTCCAGGGCGCAAAGCTAGGGTAGGTTGATATGGGGGAGAAGTTGTTACCCATGCAGCAGATTACACCCTCTACACGGCGCCGAAAGTCTCAAATGGAAAGGCAAACGCCAATACGATTGGTTCCAGCGCCGTCGCAGGAACTGTCAGAACGAGGTGTAGATAAGACTAGCTCAGAGTTTATCCAATAATCCCATCTCGCATCATGCTTTTTCATACATGGAATTAGGAGTATAAAATGCGAGCATAATCTACTAGCAAACTGTGGGTAAAGCACAAGAATATCTTGAATATTCCCGAGTGTATGAAGTAGTTACAGAGCTTAAAGTACCTCATACCATTTGGTCTGAAATAATTGATAACGGGGCAGTCAGAGACAGTGCTGGAGTATGTCTCGGCTCTTGTTCACATAGCTCGGTTAAAACATTCACCATTGAGGGAGTCATTACCTCCTGCCACCTGCCATAGATATCGATATCCCAGCCTAATTATGGCAATTCAAATCAAATGTTTATTCAGGTAAAAGTACATACATACATGATTCACATAATGTTGGAACCGTGGACATCTTCAAGAGGAAACTAGATTGTTTCCTCCAAGGAGTGCCGGACCAACCGGGCTGTGGTGGGTATGTGGGCCTGCGGGCCGCTCCAAGCAACAGCCTGGTGGACCAAACTCTCACAAGTAAAGTCTGGCCCCGGGCCGGGCTTGGGGATTAGAACTCCTCCCAGAACCCCATCAACCAGGTATCAACCAGAGCTAGTACATACAATGCCTAAAACCACTAATACGCACAGTGTTTCGGGCAACTCGAATTATAATGCCACACTCTCTAGTGGGTGTTTTATGCTGTCGGTGCATATAGTTCTCCTTTCTAAACGTATCAAAGCATTTTTTAACCCGTGTTTTCTTGCCCGAGTGCCAGCGGTGGGTGTGGGGTGCATAATGATGAGCAGGCAAGTGGACGAGTGAAGGTCGAGAGGGGGGAGCGAGTCTAAAAATTACCCCAGTTGAAGAAATGAATTGGTAAATAAAATGTTAATGCATGCATGGTTGAGAACTGTAGTCAAGAATCAGTGAGTACCGTCATGACAGCCTGCAGTACCCCTGAGACTCGCCGGAGTAGCGCGGCAGTAGCTCAGAGTTGATCGTAAATAAAGCGAAATGGGAAAATATAAATATATTCAAATGCACTCATTCTAACGGACCTTCTTGGCACCATCAGAGAGCCATCAGTGACCTGAATGTGTGTTACTGTTTTATTCTAGCTTTGACTATGACTACCTCTTGTGCAAATGTCTCACCAGTTAGCATATTAGCAGGGTTGGAGGAGGTTGCAACGGTTGCAGAGGATGTGTTAAGCAGGGCGTGCAAAATCCTCTAATGCCTATGACAGACAGCTCACAATGGCTGTCCAAAGAGAAAGGAATAGGGTCAGACAGAGCAAGCCTTAATTATTCAGAAAAGCGCACTCTGTCTTAGAGGGTCGGAGACACAGTAAGACGTATAATTTGATCAATTTGTATAGTGTTAATCTTGTTACATGCAAAATGTCCTGATTGGGGGAATTTTGGCGGTGGTGCAAAGTGCGTTCTCAAATATTTATAAAGCTTAAATATTACTAAAGTGTATTAAAAATATTACGTACTCCAATAATTTATAAAAGCAGCTAAAGTTAGGTCACATAGCCTTCCCGGTTTGGTGCCTTCTTTTGATAATTACTTACTTAAAGTTAGGTCACTAGGGACTGTCATTGTAAGAGTGACAGGTCTTGGGGAAAGACTGGTCTATCCTACAGGATGTTATCACAATTGACCTCCTTTATGGATATGTATATATCACAGAAACTTGTATGAACAACAAGCAGATTGGATCAGAGAGATCCTCTCGTGAAAGGTTCAAACCTTATACTGACAGGGATGAACACCTTGACAAGTCCAGTACTCTGACTAAACGGATACCAGACTGTTACTGTTAAGTCATTGGTAGACCAAGTTATTTCCGTCCAATGACCTTTTTTTATGCATTTATTTGAACAGATAGGTCCCAAATATCACCTAGATTTCAGAATATAAAAATATGTCGTTTAAATTAAATGGATCAATAAGACGGTTTTCGGTCTGGCGGACAGAAAATTACAAAAAAAAAAAAAATACAAATCCGCCAACACACACAAAAATCTCCCAACAATGTGCTCGTATTCTGATGCATATTCTTCATATGGCTTTGCATTTCTGATCATTCGTGTTTTAAACTCTATATACGTTTGTCAGCGTATAGTAGGTATTTAGATTTATCGTATGTGTGGTTCATTTATTTCAGATTAAATAAATTTAATTACAAGTTTGTTACAACCAGTTATAACTAATATGTGTCTATATATAATAGTAAACAAAATTGATCTCTGTGGCCGAGGGTTAAATACGTAAGAGACGTAGGAAGAGTTGAGAGTTCAACACGATCATTTCAGTGTTTTGAGGCCACATGTAAAGCTTATAGTTAAAGGCTTTTGATGAAGGCCATTTGACCTTCGAGAAATATTCCCACAGTGCTCTCTCGTCCGCACTCCTCCCGCGATCAATGCAAACCATTTACAGCACGCAAATTGACTGATCCTATTTTTTCGAGCGATGCCCATTACCCCCCCTTAAAAAAATGAACAGGGTGGGAGGCGGCGCTCACAGGGGTAGGAGGAAATGAGAAAATCGGAATTAAGAGGCAGGGGCTAGTGGGGTTTTGGGGAGGAGATGGTGGTGGTGGTGTCGGATGGTGGGGTACCCGACATGTGGGTGGCATCAACCCTCCTGCCTCATTTCGTACATGGCCCTGTACAGCGAAGCACCGCCTGGCAGCAAGGATGGTCGCTGGGAACGCCTCCAGCTGCCTCACACTCGTCGTTAGTTTGGTAAAGTTCCACGCTAATGTTTAAGCTGTTAAGGTTCGCACTCACACTTAAACTTTAAGCTGTTTAAACTTGAAGCTTAAGTTAAGGATTTGGTGTTCATTTCAGAATCAAATTCAAGAGTAACTTGGTCAGATTAATCAATTATATTTTGTGTTTAAAAGCAACTTTATATTAAATGCAGGATAAAAAGTTGCATGGTAGGATTTAGCTGTTATATAAGCTGAAAGTCAAGCTTGATCCAAAGAACTCAAGTTCTCCGTTTTCATTTTCCCCCTCTCCTTCTCCCCTTCCCTCTCTCTCTCCGTCCCTCCCTCTAATTCTTTTTCTCTCCTCCCTCCCTCTACAGTGGCAACCATTTACAGTGTTTGAGAGCACTGTACCACCTTACGGGGTGACTGGGTGCGCCAAGGATGTCATAGATATTATCGCCCATCATCTATCTTTCTGGTACGGTGTCTCGGCTCTTGCTTCACTTCTTGCACGAGTTGCTGCGTTTGTATACCAGTTTTACCTTGCCTCACCTGCTTCAACATGTCTTGCATTACCTTGTTAAGGAAAGGATTCTCTGACTATCTTGACCCCTCCTGTCGCCAGTTACCGGATGGTGCGGGCGCCGGACTCCGACTGGGGACTGGAACTGCCCAACGGAACGTGGACTGGTTCCCTGGGGATGCTTAACCGACGGGTAAGTCCTTGGTCGGGTGGTGGAGGGAGGGGGGTATGGGGACGGGAGAGTCAGGCTAGTATGAGAGAGGGTGCATCAGGATATCCACCCTCCCTCATACTAGCTAGTATGAGGACGAGTGGATCAGGCTGGTGGTGGTCCTGTTGTTCAATTGATGATTAACTTTTTTTTTTAAATTTAATTCACGTTTTTGTGCATATTATTTTGAATTATAATTTTTAAATAAATACAAACAACGAATCTGGGATACGAAATAACCCATTGTAATTAAATCTTATATCGTATTTCCTATACATTCACATGTTTCTGACAGGATTTTATGCTTCATAGTTTTGAGTGAAAATGTCACCATAGTTGCATGTACATCATCCCCAATAGTAAAAAAACCAGCTTAAAATGTGTTTTATGTGATTCAGGAAGCGGAGATGTCAGCGGGAGTGTACTCCATCACTGACAACCGCGCCAGGGCCGTAGACTTCAGTTACCCTCTCATCCTGGACGAGTTCTCTGTCGCATACAAGCGACCTGTCATCGAGTCAGACATGGCCGGCTTCTTCAAACCCTTTGACCCCGAGGTAAGTCCAGCATTCATGTGCTTTTAGTTATAACGTTTATAGCGTATTAGCGTTGAGTCAGTGTAGAATGTCATATTTTTGTATCTCCAAGACACGAGTTATTTATTTTTAAGTAGGTTTTCAAAACAATAAGTGAAATTTTAAGAGTCAATACGTGGTAAATATTTATAATACTACCTCGACGTTGCAATTACATTTTCTTCTAAAAAATTTCATTGTTCAAATTCAGATGAAACCTAATCCCTATTGAAGATGACATTAACGAAGTGGGTAGGAGAGAGGCATGGGGGAAGAACTTGAATACTATTTGAATTTGAAGGCTGGTGGTGGTGGTGGTTATGTATTTTACCTGCAGATGGTCAACACAAGCTAGTCGTTTTTTGTCTTTGTAACTCTGCACTGTGTTAGGTAATGTTCCATTGGTCTGTTGGGCATTCTCCAGTGTTGAGCTCCTCTCTTCCTCGGAAACCTGTAAACCTATTCCCCGTGCACATGAGTATCCAAGGTTTATGCGGTGTCAATGCACTTGTTTTCTATTGTACGGTTTCTGCATTGCTCTATCTGTAGCTATTTTCTTAATCTGCGCTAACCTCTGTGGTATATAAATGTCTACATTCCCCCCTCCCCCCCTCTTAGTGAAGTTCTACAGCTTTATCTGCATTGTAATTTTCTGGTATTCCTACACGACTTTGCACCCAGTTGATAAGTATTGGGCGACCTTGGCGTTTGAGTGTTTGCATTAATGCTGTAACATTTATGGCCAGATGGATGTTGTCACGTAAGTGTTCTTGTTCCAAGGCTTCTGTGGCAGTTCTCGAGTCTGTGTATGATAACGTGTTGACAAATCGTGTTTAGCTATACCATGTTCCAAAGCTTTTTGCATAGCTAGCATCTAAAATTGAGCACCCATTTCAGTCTCCAACTAACTACGGAATTTCTTGGCTTAACAGCTACAGATTTGTCTCTGCTGGTCTAAGGATCCGTGTGTGCAGTATGTGAAGATGTCAGATACTAAGCTTCCTTCCACATTCATCTGTGTAATGAGGTGTAAAAGATGGGGGTTTGTCTGAATTTTTGTTTTTGTTTCAAGAGCCATAATCTTAGTCTGCTGGCAACGATTCCCAAGGGGCTTGCATAAGTCTGCGTGAATTTTGTCGACACCCTCTTTTTATTTCACTTATTTAAAATATATTGATAGTGTTTATTGCACAGTAGGTCCACCCGTTTTTTATTTTTACATGCGAACATGGAATACAATAAAACAAATACAATAAAATAATAAACCAAGAACAGACATAACAAAACAAAATACAAAAGCACAAAACAAAGAAATACAAATACACTAAATACCGGCCTGAAGGGCCGACAACAAAAACATAACAATGAGCATAAACACAATGGAACACAGGAAAAAGAAACAATACCGGACAGGAGGGTAACGGAAATACAATAAATACAACAAACAACACCGGCCTGAAGGGCGCACAATAGGTACAACACATTGCAAACAAACCACAGGTCCAAGCACACACCAAACACACAGCAAGCACATAGACTACTCAAAATGTTCATACTTATCCGGCCACTCCGCCGCCGGGAATCGAACAATACGCCTCCCAAAGTAACATGACGTCCTCCGGAACAGGTTCATTATGAACCGTACGAGGATCAGGCATCAACTCCGGCACACCCACAATAAAACACCGAGCCCGCTGAACCCAGATGGGAGAAGGGCACCACGGAACAGGACGCACGCGGTCAACAATGTCAAACCGCAAAGGATTCCGAGCATCATACGCCACGCCGGAGGCCAAGACGTGAGGGAGAGGCTCATTCCCACGAGGCCGGGCAATGGGCAGCGCACTGGGAGCCTCCTCGGCTGCCTCACAGGGCCCCGCGTCAACCACCGGACGTTGTACCTGCTGGGACCCCCCACGCTTGGCATCCTTCTTCAGCACCAGCTTGAGGCCTCGGCTCGCACCAGAACTCTCACCATCCACGTCTGTAGGAGCGACCACCCCCCACTGCGGAGAACCTTCTGCAGGAGAAAGAACAGGAAGTAAATCATACGCACAACCATTATCATCAGCAGGCACATGGACGTCAGCAACCACCAGCGACGTAGAGCGCGAAGCGCCCGGAACCGCCACATCAGCCCAAGCAGTAGAAGAACGCCTGGAACGCTTGGGCACCGGCCGCACATCCTCACCGCCGGAGGCGGACCCAGAACCACGGGCTTCACAAGCCGTGCGAACCGACGCCCGTCGCAGTACGGCAGCAGCCTCAACCACAGAAGGAACCGGGCCGCACACAATAGGACGCTCCGCAGCCGTAACACCTGGCGAGGACGCAGGGCCAGGCGCATCAGCAGGAGACGAGGAAGATGAAGACGACTCGCAGAGACCATCCGGAAGACCCTCGGGAGCAACTGGCACAGCAAATTGACCAGCGACAGGAGCCACCAGAACACCCGGAGGAGGGACAGCAACCACCGGGGGCACGTCGGGTGACGCAGGGGGGGCCGCATCAGCAGCGAACGGGACCTGCCCCTCTTCATCTCCGGAATCCACGCCCTGAGGGAGCGGCGGAAAGTACTCTTCCCGGAACAAGTTGACAGGTGCAGCAGGGGCCTCAGAGCACCCGGCAGCCTGATGCCCTAACTGGCCACATCGGAAACAGGTACGGGGCTGCCGGGCATAATACACCCGAACGTAGTAACCCAGCAGCCGGACAGAAGATGGGATATCCGACCGCAGGCGCATACCTAAGGTACGGACGTTCGTCTGGTTCCCAGTATGGTTCCCAGTATGGTTCCCAGTATGGTTCCCAGTATGGTTCCCAGTATGGTTCCCAGTATGGTTCCCAGTATGGTTCCCAGTATGGTTCCCAGCATACTTCCCCGAGGAAAGCGTGTTCACCCGCACACTGATGACTGCACCATACCACCCGAAGTAGCGCCGGAGAAGGTCTTCAGGGAACTCCAGGGGCGCATCATGTACACTGACATAAGTCAGGGCACCACTGCGGTCCGAGACCGCAACAGAGCCGGCGCCATCCGGCAACGACAATGAACGCCCTTCGTACCGACGGAGGAAGTCCCGATACTACTCCTCCCTCACGAACTTGATAATCACCCGGTGGGCCGTAGCAAGCTCAACTCCGTAGACAGCCTCCACCGGGACACGAAGCATGTCGCACATCACCAACTCAATGGCTGGATAACCAGCCTTACACGAGAACTCCAGTCCCACGGAATTCACTCGTAGAACAGGAATGTGAAGGTCCCCCATGTCAGAACTGCCACGTCAGCACGCAGCCAGGTAGGCAACAACACTGGGTGGGCAGAAACGCCCCCACCACCTGGTGACCAAAGTGGCAAACAACCCCAGTAGTCACGGTGGACGGGACACGTCCGCACGCCACGGCTGCTCAGGGCGAACTCCAAACTCCATACTGGCAGTTTTCCCCCGACACCTTTTTTGATTAACGTGTATGCGGGCTTGCGTGACTGTTTTTTCTAGATCAAATGAAAATCACTATAGCCAGACCCGAGTTAACTGTTCCTAGTGATGTTACTATGCAGTTGGCAGTACCTCCTCCTCTAGTGAAGCCGTGTGTGCTTATGCAGGTCTCCAGTCTTCCACAGTAGCCTATTTAAGACCGTCCATTCTGTAGTTTTACTAATAAATTTACTGTAAATTTGTGTAAACTAGTCCAACTATGAATGTACACATTTATGAATAAATTATTTAAATTTCAGACGGGTAAATGGAGATAAGGTTGCAGTAATTGTGTGTTTCGTTTGGCAGCTGTGGTTGTTGCTGCTTGCTGCCCTCGTGGTCATCCTTGTGGCTATATGCGTCATCCACCAGGGCCACCATGTCTTGCCCCGTACCCCCAAGTTAGTGTCATCCACCAGGGCCACCATGTCTTGCCCCCTTACCTCCAGGTTAGTGTCATCCACCAGGGCCACCATGTCTTGCCCCCTTACCTCCAGGTTAGTGGCATCCACCAGGGCCACCATGTCTTGCCCCCTTACCTCCAGGTTAGTGGCATCCACCAGGGCTGTTACGTATCGGAAATGGATAAGGTTTGAAAAAAAGGAAAATGGAAATGAACGGAAGAATAGGGAGGAAAAACTCATAGGGTGAGGGAGGTTGGGAGGTGTGAGTAGTATGGTCAGGGGAAAGGGAGAGATTAGAATGAGAGGGAAGAGGATGAGATAAAGGAGGAAAGTAGTAAAGTAGGAAGTAAAGTTGCTAGAATAGTAGAAAGATAGAAAGTTGTAGAAGGTTGCTGCCACCATCCATTCAAGTTAAATATATTATAAGACCAGGAATGGAACTTGTCTGTACAACAATATTATGAGGTTATCATACACCCGATGTACGAATATAACTCATGTCTTAGAGCTGCTTGTAGATTAACTCTAAAAATATTTTAGACAAGGTGGGCCGGATTGATATTGGTTTGAAATTGTTGCCTTCAGTGAGACCACTACTGGACTGTGATTACTCTTGCTTTTTTTATAATACCGGGAAATTTCGGAATTAGTGATTTGTTGTAGAGCACTGCAATGGTCGGAGCTAAAAAATCTTGAGCCTTTTTTGTAAAGCAAGGTTGGTATCTCAGCAAGGGTACTCTACTTACTTTGAAGCAATTTTCATTAATATCTGAAAAATTAGTTGGAGTTAGGTACAGGGACTACCTCTGCGTAAGAGGTAGTCATTAAAATTGGTTTGGGATGCTGGTATTTCTATTGCAATAGATCTAGTTGATGAGAAACTGGAATTTAATGGCAGTGTCAGGCAGATAGGACTCTATCGTCATTGGATAGGAGTATTGTAGTGTTCAAGTGAATGGCTTGACGGTTTGTCGCAGTTTACAAGCTTAATATTCTGGTAGTGGCTCAGCCTCACTAACCTGCCAGATGTGCCTATAGGCAAGGCGAATTCACACAATGACTATATCACATTGTCTGGTCCGGTTACTGTGCTGACCATACAAATACCTATTATTACAAGTTATCATATCTTTTAATAATGCAGCTTTCATATCTTTGGGCTTTTCTTAGTTTTTGCCAAATCTGAAATAATCTATAATTTGTATGTTTTTAATAATTGCAATAGTAAAGTCAGTCTGTATTGTTTCCTGCGAATACAGAATACATGTAGATAGACATGTTGGCCAGTGCATCTAGTCATACTTTCCATCTCCAACATGGGTAAATTTCTTATAATTTATATAAAGCCAACAGGATGTTGAGAAGCTAGAGATTACAGATATTTCAATGTTTACTTAGAATTAGATCAGTTAAAACCTTCCATGCTGCTGAAACAACTCTTAGAACATTAAATTTGCATACAGTTAACATGTATGTGCGTGTGTGTGTCATGTACATAAATTAGCAACTGCAACTTGACTCGTCCTTTGCAGGTGTCGGGAGCCAATAGCCTTGCCTCATTCTTCTCAAAACACTGGTCTTACCTGGTCTGGCTTCCTGTACAGTGCTGACAGGTCCTTCCAGTGGGTCATTTCTGCACTCCTCGGTCAGTGTAAGTGTCTTCAGTGTAAAGTCTCAGCAGGTTCAGTGTAAGTGTCGTCTGGTGCAGTGTTAGGTATCTAATGCGATCAGTGTTTCTTGCCTTTGTGTTCAGAGTTAAGTTTCTCTGGTCCGTTGTTAAAGTATCAAACATTATAACAGCTTGAATGTTAAATATATCATACAAAAATATTTTCTATCATTGACAGTATTTAGTGTTTAATATAGTGTTTAGTAGACAGTAGTCTTAGTACTAATGTTTTCTACAGAATTTATGTATGCAGTATGGATTTACAGGTAACACAGCCACCCCTAACACCACCACCAGTAACACAGCCACCCCTAGCACCCACCACCACCAGTAACACAGCCACCACCACCAGTAACACAGCCACCCCCACCCCCACCACCACCAGTAACACAGCCACCCCCACCACCACCACCACCACCACCAGTAACACAGCCACCCCCACCACCACCAGTAACACAGCCACCCCCACCACCACCACCACCACCAGTAACACAGCCACCACCACCAGTAACACAGCCACCCCCACCACCACCACCACCAGTAACACAGCCACCACCACCACCACCAGTAACACAGCCACCCCCCCCCACCACCAGTAACACAGCCACCCCCACCACCACCACCACCACCAGTAACACAGCCACCACCACCACCACCAGTAACACAGCCACCCCCACCACCACCAGTAACACAGCCACCACCACCAGTAACACAGCCACCCCACCACCACCACCACCACCACCCCACCACCACCAGTAACCATCATAGCCACCCCCACCACCACCACCACCACCAGTAACACAGCCACCCCTAGCACCGCCCACCACCACCACCAGTAACACAGCCACCCCTAGCACCGCCCACCACCACCACCACCAACACAGCCACCCCTAGCACCGCCCACCACCACCACCACCACCAGTAACACAGCCACCCCTAGCACCCACCACCACCAGTAACACAGCCACCACCACCACCACCAGTAACACGGCCACCCCTAGCACCCACCACCACCACCAGTAACACAGCCACCCTAGCACCCCCACCACCACCACCACCACCACCAGTAACACAGCCACCCCTAGCACCCACCACCACCACCAGTAACACAGCCACCCCTAGCACCCCCCACCACCAGTAACACAGCCACCCCCACCAGTAACACAGCCACCTCTAGCACCCCCCCACCACCACCACCACCAGTAACACAGCCACCCCCACAGCCACCCCCACCACCACCACCAGTAACACAGCCACCCCCACCACCACCACCACCAGTAACACAGCCACCCCCACCAGTAACACAGCCACCTCTAGCACCCCCCCCACCACCACCACCACCAGTAACACAGCCACCCCCACCACCACCACCAGTAACACAGCCACCCCCACCACCACCACCACCAGTAACACAGCCACCCCCACCACCACCAGTAACACAGCCACCCCCACCACCACCACCAGTAACACAGCCACCCCCACCACCACCACCACCACCAGTAACACAGCCACCCCCACCACCACCACCACCACCAGTAACACAGCCACCACCACCACCACCACCAGTAACACAGCCACCCCCACCACCACCAGTAACACAGCCACCCCTAGCACCCCCCCCCCACCACCACCACCACCACCACCAGTAACACAGCCACCCCCACCACCACCACCACCAGTAACACAGCCACCACCACCACCACCACCACCACCAGTAACACAGCCACCACCACCACCACCACCACCACCACCAGTAACACAGCCACCCCTAGCACCCCCCACCACCACCACCAGTAACACAGCCACCCCTAGCACCCCCACCACCACCACCAGTAACACAGCCACCCCTAGCACCCCCCCCCACCACCACCACCACCAGTAACACAGCCACCCCTAGCACCCCCCCCCACCACCACCACCACCACCACCATTAACACAGCCACCCCCACCACCACCACCACCAGTAACACAGCCACCCCCACCACCAGTAACACAGCCACCACCACCACCACCACCACCAGTAACACAGCCACCCCCACCACCACCACCAGTAACACAGCCACCACCACCACCACCAGTAACACAGCCACCCCCACCACCACCACCACCAGTAACACAGCCACCCCTAGCACCCACCACCACCACCACCAGTAACACAGCCACCCCTAGCACCCACCACCACCACCCCCACCACCAGTAACACAGCCACCCCCACCACCACCACCAGTAACACAGCCACCCCTAGCACCCACCACCACCACCAGTAACACAGCCACCCCCCACCACCACCACCACCAGTAACACAGCCACCCCCACCACCACCACCAGTAACACAGCCACCCCTAGCACCCACCACCACCACCACCACCAGTAACACAGCCACCCCCACCACCACCACCACCAGTAACACAGCCACCCCCCACCACCACCACCACCAGTAACACAGCCACCCCTAGCACCCACCACCACCACCACCACCAGTAACACAGCCACCCCTAGCACCCACCACCACCACCCCCACCACCAGTAACACAGCCACCCCCACCACCACCACCACCAGTAACACAGCCACCCCTAGCACCCACCCCCACCACCACCACCAGTAACACAGCCACCCCTAGCACCCACCCCCACCACCACCACCAGTAACACAGCCACCCCTAGCACCCACCCCCACCACCACCACCAGTAACACAGCCACCCCTAGCACCCACCCCCACCACCACCAGTAACACAGCCACCCCCACCACCACCACCATTAACACAGCCACCCCCACCACCACCATTAACACAGCCACCCCCACCACCACCACCACCAGTAACACAGCCACCCCCACCACCAGTAACACAGCCACCCCCACCACCACCACCACCAGTAACACAGCCACCACCACCACCAGTAACACAGCCACCCCCACCACCACCACCAGTAACACAGCCACCCCCACCACCACCACCAGTAACACAGCCACCCCCACCACCACCACCACCAGTAACACAGCCACCCCTAGCACCCACCACCACCACCACCACCAGTAACACAGCCACCCCCCACCACCACCACCACCAGTAACACAGCCACCCCTAGCACCCACCACCACCACCACCACCAGAAACACAGCCACCCCTAGCACCCACCACCACCACCAGTAACACAGCCACCCCCACCACCACCACCAGTAACACAGCCACCCCTAGCACCCACCCCCACCACCCCCACCAGTAACACAGCCACCCCCACCACCACCACCAGTAACACAGCCACCCCTAGCACCCACCCCCACCACCACCACCAGTAACACAGCCACCCCTAGCACCCACCCCCACCACCACCACCAGTAACACAGCCACCCCCACCACCACCACCAGTAACACAGCCACCCCTAGCACCCCCCACCACCACCACCAGTAACACAGCCACCCCTAGCACCCACCCCCACCACCACCACCAGTAACACAGCCACCCCTAGCACCCACCCCCACCACCACCAGTAACACAGCCACCCCTAGCACCCCCCACCACCACCACCACCAGTAACACAGCCACCCCTAGCACCCCCCACCACCACCACCAGTAACACAGCCACCCTTAACACCACCAGCAATGCGGTGGGTACCGTCTGGAGACTCTGTGCGCCTGGTGACGGGAGTGTGGGCCTTGACTGTGCTGGTCGTGGGCTCTGTGTACCGCTCCAACCTCATGGCCAGACTCGTCTACCCGAAGCTGCAGCTTTCCTTCGACAGCCTGGAGGAACTTGGTCACACCAACATCCGTCTCTGGGCACCTCTGGCCAGCCGCTTTCATGAGACTCTGATAGTACGTTTTATTCTGGTTTAATTTTATTTGCTTTATGGACTTCTTGGTTCTGGGCTTGGTACCTTCGTTTGATAATTACTTAGAAGAGCAGTGATCTAATGATATTACTGTACCTAACTCATGGTAATTTGTGTGCGTATATTGTGTAACCGGCAAGCGTCTATGAAGCTTCGGTGTGTTTCTGACAAATGTTAAAATCTCCCTCCGTGGACGTGATCGGGGCCACTGACTCTCGTGGTATCTGAATTGGGTACAACCTATGATCTCGGGTCGTCTTTGGTGCTTGCTATTAACTCCAGGGCCCAACCTCCGCCTCCAGATGTTATACAGTCATAATGGATTGGCGCTTTCTCCTGATATTTCCCTCCCTCCCTTGTTTGTGTTAAATCTGTCCTATTGAAGAACTTATCTGGGTTAATATCCTCCAAATTGTTAGGTATTTTAAAAATTTCGGTGATAAATTCCTAGTCATGTTTAGTTTGTTAGAGCTGTGGCCCTCAGCAGATCCTGGTGAGTTGACTTGACTTGGGTCTGGAATGATTATTGTTGCCCGGTGTTGAACTTTATCCAAAGAAGCTGTCATTCTGCAGAGGAGGTTTCCCTGCTTGGGTACAATAATGCAGGTCAGTCTCACTATGGCGCTAGATTTCCGCTTGAAAAATGGCCCCGGATGCAACGGGAGACGACACAGGCTATCTTGCCACCTCCTTGGTGCCCACTTGAAGATTACACCCCTCATGGCCTATTGTCGGCGTGAGGGGGGCTTGGTGGGAGGTTGTCGGAGTGTGATGCTTGATAGGATGGCATTTCATCTCTTCTTTTTGAGCCTTGTGCTCCTGCGGCCTTTACTAATTTTGTTGGATACCTTTATCTCTTCCTCGTGTTTCTTTTTTCTCCACTTCTTTCTAAATAAAGATGCCTGAAGACTGTTCCACTCTCGAATATTCTTTCGTTTGACTTGTTTTGATAGCAGGGTGAACTCAAATTGTTAGAATGTACCATTTAGTACATTATCAGATTTTGTTAATACTCAGTGTACAGAAATAACGTTTATACTTCCGAAACCATGTCTAGTTATAAATGAAAGTAAAAATCGTTTTACCATTTGTAATACATTCAGACTACTATACAATACAGCGAAATACGATTATTGTATTACTATATTTTCTATTATTAAACCTTTTATGCGGAAGGATATTAGTTTATAGAAGATTGTAAGACACTTTCTCTTTCAGGCATCGACGCAGAGTTCTGACTTTAGTCACCTGAGAGACCAAGTGCTCCTCGGCGCGAATGTTTCCGAGGGCTTAGATGGTCTCTTCAACGGCAGCTGGGCTTTCACCACCGTCCGCAGCTCTCTCTCCTACTTCCTCTACGAAGATTTCACCAACGTCAGTCTCTACCAAACACTGACTCTCGTGTATTTTAGAGAGTTTAGGTTGTACCATATTCACTCGGAAGTACTGTATTAGCCAGGATATGTGGGTAGTTGGAGTTCATGCATAGCTTCAAACAAAAAATCAATCGCCGAAGCAGAGTTGTTTGTTCTAGACTCTCAATCCGGAATTCTGGGTTTGAATGCCAGGTAGGACAAAAATGGTTGGGCGCATTTCCTATCACCTAATGCAGCTGTTCACCTAGCAATAAATCCAACATATTCTACATGATTAATTTAAGACTGTTTAGTGAAAATGGTTAAAGCGATGAAGGAAAAGCGAAGCGCGCACTAGAAGTAATAACAATACAGCTGGAAACCCAACAAAACTCAATAGTATTAAGTCTGCTAGAGATAGAAGGATAAGAGGTCCGGGGGGGGGGGGGGTGAAGAGTAGGGAAGGTTATGAAGGAGCAAAGTTTGTGTATAGGGGGCCGGGAAAAGGCAGGGCAGTGATGGTCACAAGAGATGAAGACAATATTTAGTGAAGATGGTTAGTGTTGTAGGTTGTATGTAATAAAGCGATGGTAGTTGCGAGTAGTTAAGATGATTAGTAAGGAAGATGGTGTGTAATGTGGCCTCCGGATCTTGGAGGTACTGAGCTCTACAAGGATGCTCAAATAAAGAAATCTCAAAGTAGCTGATACTCGGACTTAAATCCTCACTAAAGCACTATTCTGGAATGTGTTGATTGTTTCATGATCATTATTTCAATTATAAATCCACAATGTTGTAGGTAATGACATTTTATTCACTTGATTGTATCGTCAGGGTATACGATTCACATTTTTTCCACTTGCAGATAAAAACAATCATACCATTAACACCTAATATAATTCTCCACAGAAAGGCTCCTGTGGTTCGTACATTATGTCTCGAGGGTTCTTTGGGGCAACGTCTGTGAGCTTTGCGTTCCCTAAAGGCTCCCCGCTCAGGTCCCAGGTGGACGCCATGTGAGTTGCACTTTCCTGAACGCAACCACTACCGCCCATAGGATGAGTATGGGATGCATATTATATGAACTAAACTGTACTCGACCACTTGTGTTGATGGATTGAGAATATATCATGCATGGATATCAACGTGAAGTTTATTTCTTGAGAATATTAGTGGGCTGCTTAGATTTTTGCCTCCTGTCTAAGCTCGATAATGGTTGCCCTGCTTACTCGTCTGCTTCTCCTTCTACTCTTCGCCGTCTTGATGCTTTGCACCATACTGGGTTGCGCCTCAGTTCCGGTGCCTTTCGTTCGACTCCCGTCCTTAGCTTGTATGTTAACACTGGCTTCCTGTCTCTCCAAGACCGCCGTGATCGCTACTGTCTTCGCTATCTTGCGCGGTCCTTACAACATCCTTCCTCTCGCCTCTGTCGTGCTTTAACTTTTACCCCTCCTGCGGTTCCTGTTCCTCTTCGTATTTCTAATGTTTCTCCTCGTGTTGTTCCTTCTTTGCCCCCGTGGAGAGTCCCTCTTCCGCGGTTTTGTACATCCTATACCCGTATCACTAAAGCTTCTACCCCTCCTACGGTTCTAAAACGCCTTTTCCTTGAGCACTTATCTTCTCACTTCCGCTCCGTTTCTGTCTTCACCGATGGGTCTAAATCTGCGGACGGTGTTGGCTACTCTGTTGTTTTTCCTGATCGCACTTATATGTGTCGCTTACCTCCGGAGACTAGCATCTTTACAGCGGAGCTTTATGCTATTCTCTCTGCTCTTCGTCTCCTGCTTTCTCGTTGTCAGTCTTCCTTTGTAGTTGTTGTTGGCTCTCGGGTCCTTTAATCCGGTTCATCCAGTAGTTGTCGAGATCCAGCATTGGCCGTTTCTTGTTCACAGTAAATTTAAGTCGGTTGAGTTTTGTTGGGTTCCCAGCCATATTGGTGTGTCTTTAAATGAGCGTGCGGATGCTGCCGCCATGGAAGTAAGTAAGTAATTATCAAAAGAAGGCACCAAACCGGGAAGGCTATGTAGCACCATCAAATACGCAAAATAATCAGAGGGCGCTAAATATCACCAAGGATGCCAATACGAGAACAAAAACGCATAAGGCGAACGATATCAAAAGTATCCGAGTCACCAAGAATTCTAGCGAGGGACAGGTGACCGCGAGGGGCGGTCGGAAAGCAAGACACACGCTCGTCCTGGAAGTCAGGACAGTCAAGAAGGACATGCACAACCGTAAGAGGGACAATGCAACTAGGACAATAAGGGGCAGGGCGGCGCCCCTGCCCCTTAACTCGCTTAACCCATGGGTTAAGCGAGTATGGCCAATACGCAACCTCGCCAGAGCTGTTTCCCACCTCCGGTTACGGTGGAAGGAGGACGGCCACGAGGAAACACAACATTTAAGAGTACGTAGCTTGTTACCAGTAACAGACAACCAAGAAGCCTGCCAACGGGTAAGGACTGAGGAATGGATAACCGGGTAAAAGTCGGAATACGGAATGCCTTTACGAGAGATGGGACAAGAGCGGACAGCTTCCTTGGCGGCAGCATCCGCACGCTCATTTAAAGACACACCAATATGGCTGGGAACCCAACAAAACTCAACCGACTTAAATTTACTGTGAACGAGAAACAGCCAATGCTGGATCTCGACAACTACTGGATGAACCGGATTAAAGGACCCGAGAGCCATGAGGGCACTACGAGAGTCAACAACAACTACAAAGGAAGACTGACGAGAAAGCAGGAGACGAAGAGCATAGAGAATAGCATAAAGCTCCGCTGTAAAGATGCTAGTCTCCGGAGGTAAGCGATACATATAAGTGCGATCAGGAAAAACAACAGAGTAGCCAACACCGTCCGCAGATTTAGACCCATCGGTGAAGACAGAAACGGAGCGGGAGTGAGAAGAAAAGTGCTCAAGGAAAAGGCGTTTTAGAACCGTAGGAGGGGTAAAAGCTTTAGTGAGACGGGTCAAGGAAGTACAAAACCGCGGAAGAGGGACCCTCCACGGGGGCAAAGAAGGAACAACACGAGGAGAAACATCAGAAATACGAACGGAGAGAGAATCCTGTAGGCGAGATAACCGGACAGAAAGAGGGAGGCGGTGAAGAGGAACAGGAACCGCAGGAGGGGTAAAAGTTAAAGCACGACAGAGGCGAGAGGAAGGATGTTGCAAGGACCGCGCAAGATAGCGAAGACAGTAGCGATCACGGCGGTCCTGGAGAGACAGGAAGCCAGTGTCAACATATAAGCTAAGGATGGGAGTCGAACGAAAGGCACCAGAACTGAGGCGCAACCCAGTATGGTGCAAAGCATCAAGACGGCGAAGAGTAGAAGGAGAAGCAGACGAGTAAGCAGGGCAACCATAATCGAGCTTAGACAGGACGAGAGAGGAATATAAAGCAAGGAGAGTGCGCCTATCTGCCCCCCAAGAAGTATGGGACAAGCCCCGAAGGAGGGTAAGGGCCTTAGAGCACTCAACACGGAGGTAAGAGATATGGGGAGACCAAGACAAACGAGTGTCAAGGAATAACCCCAAAAGCTTCGCGGAATCTTTGTACTCAAGGGAATGACCATAAAGTGACAAAGGGGACGAAAAACGACCCGTTTCCGCGTGAAAGTCATGGCACAAGTCTTAGTAGAGAACTTGAAGCCATGATCGGTGGCCCAAGATGACACGGCATCAATTGCAAGAGCGACGCTGAAGGAGAGGCGAATCATCACCCTGACAGCAAAGGGTAAGATCATCGACATAGAGAGCGGAGAAGACACCTGAAGGAAGAGAGGAAAGACCATTGAGGGCAACCAGAAAGAGTAGTGCTCAGAACACTACCCTGGGGCACACCTTCGTATTGCTGAAAAGAGGCAGAGCGAGCGGTACCAAGGCGCACCCGAAAGGAACGACGAGAGAGGAAGCTGCGGAGAAAGAGAGGGAGATGACCACGAAGGCCAAAAGAATGAAGTTGAGATAGAATATGATACCGCCAAGTGGTGTCGTAAGCCTTTTCCAGGTCAAAAAGGACGGCAACAACGGAGGTCTTCGCAGCAAAAGCAGTACGAATATAGACCTCCAAGTTCACCAGGACATCCGTCGTGCTGCGGCATTTGCGGAAACCAAATTGAGAAGGGGAGAGGAGGTGATGGTTCCAGGAACCACATCAGACGAACGTTAACCATACGTTCAAAGAGTTTGCAGACACAACTTGTGAGGACAATAGGGCGAAAGTCCTTAAGGGAAGTACCCAGAGACCCCGGTTTGCGAACAGGGAGGACAACGGCATCGAGCCAGTCCTCAGGGACTGACGACGACTCCCAGATCCGATTATACACTCAGTAAATACTGAGACATGCACAGAGGGAGATGGCGAAGCATCTCGTAATGAATACCATCGGGGCCCGCCGCCGTAGAACCGCAGAGGGCCAGGGCAGAACGAAGTTCAGAGAGAGAGAAGGGATCATTATAGGGAAGCTGAAGACGAGTGCAGAAATCTAAAGGACGAGACTCAAGGACAGGTTTACGAAGAAGGAAAGATTGGGGAAGATGAAGACCAGAGCTAACAGAAGAAAAGTGGGAACCCAGTACGGAAGCGACCTGCAACGGGTCCGCCACAAGAGTATCATGGAAGTGAAACATCGGGAACGAACTTACCCGCTATCTTGCGGATACGCTTCCAGATCTGGGGCAAAGGAGTTTCGGACGTAATTGTTGAGACATAAGATGGCCCAACATTCACGTTTAGCCGTACGGATGGCCCAACGGGCGGCCACCGCACTCGCTTTCCGAAAGAAAAGAAAAGAATCGGTCGTCTGCCTACGGCGGTGCCTCTTGCAGGCTGCACGCTTACAGCGGACAGCCCGAGCACAGTCCGCATTCCACCAGGGAACGCACTTCGTGGACCCCAAGAGGAAGAGCGAGGAATAGAGCGGAGGGCAGCGTTGAAGACAGTCATAAAAAAGGAGAGCGCGAGAGAGAGGTCAGAGAGAGTAGCACTGTGGGTAAATAGGGTCCAGTCCACCTTAGCAAACTGCCACCTATGGAAAGAGGGAAGGGCGAAAAGAGAAAAAGGAAACAAGGATGGGGAAATGATCACTTCCATGGAGGTCAAGAACCTGCCACGTGAAATCTAAGTAAAGAGAAGAGGAGCAGAGAGAAAGATCAAGACAAGAAAGGGTGCGAGTCCGAGAGTCCAAATGAGTGGGCTCACCAGAATTCAGGAGAGACAGGGAAGAAGAGAGGAGAAACGGCTCAAGAAGGCGACCCCGGGTATTCGTCAGAACGTCACCCCAAAGAGAATGACGACAATTGAAGTAACCCAGCAGGAGCACAGGCTCCGGCAAGGAGTCTAGGTGGTGTTTCAAATCAGGAAGAGAAAGCGGGACACTCGGGGGGGAGATAAATGGAACAAACTGTGTACCATTTCCCCACAAAGATACGAGCAGCAGAACAATGGAGAGGCGAAGGAAAAAGTAAAGGAACAAAGGGAACATCAGCACGAATCAAGAGAGCAGAAGAATTAGAAGCCCCAGCAACGGCTGGGGGGGGGGGGGGGAGAGAAAGGAATAGCCACGAAAACGACCAGGACGAGCACCAAGCATCGGCTCCTGGAGACAGACACAAAGGGGCGAAAACCGCGAAATCAGAAGTTGGAGTTCGAGGAAATTGGCGTAATAACCTCGAACGTTCCATTGAAGAAGAGACATCGACGAGAAGAGAAAGGACAAAAAACAGAGAACAAGGAAGAAACAAAGGCGAAAGAGCAACAGAGCACGTTAAAGAATATCAGGGTTAGGGGGCATGGGTAAACTGAGCAAAGATGGAGGGAAGGAGGCGGGAGAACAGACCAGAGGTGGGCGGGCGGGATCCGGAGGAGGAAGAGGAGACAACGGAGGGGAGCAGTCAAGGACAGCAGCAGGAAGAAGGGGGGGGGGGGGGTAGAAAGAGGGAAGCGCACCTCAGCAAGGGCAGCAACCGAGAGGGAAGCGGGGGCTAAAGAAACCTCCATAGCAGGAACAGGGGGGCGCAACCACCAAAATGGGAGGGGAAGGAGCGAGAGGGGCAGAAGTAGGGGCCGAGGAAGAAAGCGAAACCTTCTTACCCGCCGGGGAGGAGGAAGGAGAGGAGCCAGGCTTACGCTTCTGACTTAAAGAGACAGGTGTCCCAGCAACCACGTACTGGGCAACGGATTCTAGAGTCTCAACAGGAGAAGCTGAACGAGAGCACACATGACGGCCTTTTGGAGAGCGATGGACATCAGCCCGCACCGACAGGCGGCGGGGAGAGTCAAGAGACGGAGGGGAAGGAGGAACGGAGGGAGACGAGGAAGAAGACACAGGAGACAAGACAGACCGGGTAGAAAGAAGGGGAACCCCAGACAGAGGACCAGGAGGTGGATCCTTCGGGAGAGAACCCAAAGGAACAGATAAGGGGCAGTGGGCGTATCAGGGTCCAAGGCCCGGAAACGGTTGTGAGTCTGAGGAAGGTGGGAAGGACGAGGAGAGGAAGAGCGCAACACGCGAGCTTAAGAGAGATTAGCATAAGGTGGGAGCCGGCGAACCTGGCGTCTCGCCTCAGGAAAAGATAAACGCTCCCGGTGCTTCAAGTTGAGGACGGCTGCCTCAAGCTTGTAATGGACACACGCACGGGAGAAGGTAGGATGGGCCTCACCGCAGTTGAGGCAACGAGCCTGGGGAGAAGTGCACTCCGACTTAGCACTTCGCCACCACACAAAGGACAGAGAGACAGTCCCGGAGCAGCGGAGGGCACCATGCCCAAACCTCCAGCACTTGTTACAGAGCCGAGAAGGAATGTACTCCTGGACAGAGCACCTGGCACCAGCAAGAATGACAGAGGGTAGAAGGGTCCTACCATCAAAGGTAATCATAACCCGGAGGGGATGACGGCGACTACCACGAGGGGGACGAGTAAACGTGTCCACCTGGAGAATAGAATGGCCCTGGGCAGCAAGGATATGTCGAATATCGTCGTGGCAGTCGCGCAGGTCCCGAACACCGGTCGCAACATGGGGCGGGAGCAGAATAGTCCAACATTGGCATTCAACTGAGCGTTCTTCGAGACCCGAACAGGGGTCTCGCCAAGGCAGGATAAAGCAGCCAAGCGGGAAGCAGCATCCTGAGAAGGAGCAGCAACGACATGTGTACCGAGACGAGTGGGGTTGAAAGTAATGGAGGCATCCACGGAATCAACGAGATGTCGATGGAGGGAAAATCGTCAGGAGGCGCAGAATCAAGAGGGAGATCAAAATATTTGGCCCACGAAGTGGGACCAAACAAGGCTTGATAGGTAGCAGAACTGGAAGGAATCGAGCGAGGGCGGCCGTGACGAGGACGGCGGTGAGAACCCCCAGAGAGAGAGGGGTTAAAAGGCGCAGTAGTTACAACTAGAGATGGAGCCGCGCCAGGGGATAAGGTAGTCACCACTGGGGGCTTGGGGCTTGACCCAACCACAGAGGAGGGAGGGGAGCCAGGGGAATGAGTCAGAGTTCCAAAGGAGGAGCAAGGTCGGGGCCCAATGCAGCGGAGGCTACAGAGCCCGGTCTTCCAAGACAGGCCGACTCGGGGGCTTGGTCGCCCACCCCACGAGCCTGAGAGGGTATAACAAAAGCATTCAACGACATAGGTACGAAGAGTGATAAATTCATCCACGAATGTGCCCCCATATCCACCATGGAGCCACAATTAGAGGCAGGACACCCAACAGGAAGCTATTGCCAATCATGCCGGGGCCCCCTAGGGGTGCGTCGTGAGTATACGCCCCACAAACGCCACCTTAAGAACCGTCAGTCCATCGAGATCGGGTTCAGCGACGAAAGGGGGATTGACAATAAAAGGTTCCCCTCGCTCAGGACGTTGGGTACTACAGTTCTACGGGTGCAAGAGTATGCCTCCTCAAGCACCCGGGCGTCAAAATAGAAGTAGTCCAAAGAAACCATCCAAAACAAGCAAAAGGTCGGCAGGAAACGACAAGCAGATAGGAGAAGAGGGGGGAGAAAAACGAAACATAATGAAAAAGGAAAAGCGATTCGGCACAATTAGAGAAGACAGCAGCAGGAGTGCAAGGCCAGAAAAGGACAGAGGACTGTCCCACGGAGCATCACACTCCGGCAGCCGTCCACGAAGCCCCCTCACGACGCATACGGGCCGGATGGGGAGGGGAAGAATAGCATAAAGCTTCGCTGTGAAGATGCTAGTCTCCGGAGGTAAGCGAATAATATATGTGCGATCAGGAAAAACAAAAAGAGTAGCCAACACCGTCCGCAGACTTAGACCCATCGGAGAAGGCAGAAACGGAGTGGGAGTGAGAAGAAAAGTGCTCAAGGAAAAGGCGTTTTAGAACCGTAGGAGGGGTAAAAGCTTTAGTGATGCGAGTCAAGGATGTACAAAACTGCGGAAGGGGGATTCTCCACAGGGGCAAAGAAGGAATAACACGAGGAGACACATTAGAAATACGAACGGAAAGAGAATCCTGTAAGCGAGACAACCGGACAGAAAGGCGGAGGTGGTGAAGAGGAACAGGAACCGCAGGAGGGGTAAAAGTTAAAGCACGACAGAGACGAGAGGAAGGATGTTTTAAGGACCGCGCAAGATAGCGAAGACAGTAGCAATCACGGCGGTCCTGGAGAGACAGGAAGCCAGTGTCAACATAAAAGCTAAGGACGGGAGTCGAACAAAAGGCACCAGAACTGAGGCGCAACCCAGTATGGTGCAAAGCATCAAGACGGCGAAGAGAAGAAACAGACGAGTAAGCAGGGCAACCATAATCGAGCTTGGACAGGACGAGAGAGGAATGTAAAGCAAGGAGAGTGCGCCTATCCGCTCCCCAAGAAGTATGGGACAATACCCGAAGGAGGGTAAGGGCCTTAGAGCACTCAACACGGAGATCACAAGATGAAAAGGACCAAGACTCCAGGATCTTTAGAACACTGCAAAACTAAACAAAGAAAGTGATCGTTGGCCCATGAAAATTATTGCAGAGCATACAAAATTGCAGTAGAAATACTCATCTCTGCAGAAATGCAGTACATTTAGGTTTTAAAGAAAAAGGAGCCAACACCAGCAGATTTCGATCCGTCTGTGAAGAGAGCAGCAGAGCGTAGACTGCAGTGAAAATGTTAAAAGGAAAATGCTTCATGACTGGGAATGGAAGGAGGGACACGGGGAAAGGGTTAGGTATAGATCACTGTAAAATTAGTCTGTTTCCCTTCCCTCGTTAACAAGTATGTTCACCAATGTTGTTGTTGGTGATAGTAACAAATATGTTCACCAACGTCACCATTTTTGTTGTAAACTCTTCAAATGACACAATTCTTTCTGCAGACATGTTCATAATTATAACCATACAGTAGTTACATTTTCTTTCCTGATTCCAGAATACTTGACCTGCACGAGTTTGGCATAATCCAGCACCTCTTCAAAACCCAGCTTAAAACATCAACAGAGTGCTTCAAGGCCATTGTCTCCACTGCTGACACCTCCAAGCGGCCTCTGGCCCTTGCAGACTTTTACGGTGTTTTCTTCCTCTACTCCACTGGTCGGTTCAACAATAAGGAATTGTATATTTTGTTTCCACCAGATTAGATGATGGGGCAATTATTTTCATTACTACTACTACTGTAGTAGAAATAATAGTACTACTACTAACGGGTTAGTAGTAGTACTACTAACACTGTGGTACTTCTACTAACACAAGCAGTAGTACTTCTATTACTAACATAGTGGTAAAAGTACTACAAACACTGTAGTAGTACTAATTCTACTTACACTTTATAGTACTATTTTTTTTTCTTTCGCGCGTGTGTGTATTTTATATATATATATATTATATATATATATTATATATATATATATATATATATAAATATATATAATATATATATATATATATATATAAAGGTACTTTGGGTTTATGAGTACATAGCATTCTGTAGATTTTGTAGTGCTCTATAGATTGAATTCTGTAGATTTCCTGTAGAAATTCTGTAAAAATAAATTTCTACAGAAAATTTATAAAATTTTATAAAATTAGATTTGTACTGTTTTGTAGACATTATGTAGAATTCCTATAAAATTATGTAGAAATTTCTACAGAAAAATCTACAGGGTTCCGACAGAAAATTTTGTAGAATTTCTGCAGAAATCAATTTCTAGATAACAAAATCTTCATAATTTCTACAATCTTCAAAATTTCTGCAAAAATTCTAAAAAAAATTTACAGAAAATTACATGATTTTCTATAGAAATTTCTACAGCAATAGTATGTCTCAAACTATACAAATCTAATTTTATTATATTTTATAGAATTTCTGTAGATTTGCTGAAAAAAAAATCTGAAGAAAATCTACAGAATTTTCTACAGAAAATCATGTAATTTTCTGTAGAGAGATTTTCAGTAGCACTTTTGTAGAATTTCTGGAAAAATTATGAAGAATTTCTATAGAAATTATGTAGAATTTTTGTAGAAATTTTGTGGATTTTCTACAGAAATTCTAATTTTTTTTACAGGAAATTACAAATTTCTACAGAACTACAAAATTTCTACAAAATCTCCAATTTCTACTGAAAATGTACAAAAATTCAATAGTTTATATAAAATCTAATTTTATAGATTTGTAGAAACTGTGTAGAATTTATGTAGAAATTCTGTAAGTAATTATCAATAGAAGGCACCAAACCGGGAAGGCTATGTAGCACCATCAAATGTGTGGGATAATCAGAGGGCGCTAAATATCACCAAGGATGCCAATACGAGAACAGAAACGCCTAAGGCGAACGATATCAAAAGTATCCGAGTCGCCAAGAATTCTATCGAGGGACAAGCGACCGACCATGGGGGACAGTCGGAAAACAAGACACGCTCGTCCTGGAAGTCAGGACATTCAACAAGGATATGCACGACCGTAAGAGGGACAATGCAATGTGGACAATAAGGAGCAGGGCGGCGCTCCATTAAGTGACCGTGAGTTAAACGGGTATGGCCAATACGTAACCTAGCTAGAGCCATTTCCCACCGCTGGTTACAGTGGCCACTGGGAGACACGACTCTTTAAGAGTACGCAGTTTGTTACCAATAACAGAAGACCAACAACTCTGCCAGCGGGCAAGGATGGAGGCACGAATAACTGGGTAAAAGTTGGAATAAGGAATACTTTTATGTGAGATGGGACAAGCGCGGATAGCTTCCTTAGTGGCAGCATCCACACGCTCATTTAAAGAGATACCAACATGGCTGGGAACCCAGCAAAATGCAACTGACTTAAATTTACTGGAGATAAGAAACAGCCAATGTTGAATCTCGACAACCCCCGGGTGGACCGGATTAAAGGACCCTAAAGCCATGAGGGCACTACGAGAGTCAACTACCACCACAAAGGATTGACACCGGGAAAGCAGGAGACGAATTGCATAAAATTCTGCTGTGAAGATGCTAGCCTCCGGAGAAAGGCGACACATACAAGTGTGGTCAGGAAAAACAACAGGAGCCCACACCGTCAGCAGATTTGGACCCATCGGTGAAAATGGGAACGGAGTGGGAAGAAAAGTGCTCAAGGAAGAAGCGTTTCAGAACTGTAGGAGGGGTAAAAGCTTTAGTGATGCGGGTTAGAGAAGTACAAAATTTGGGAAGGGGGACCCTCCACGGGGGCAAGGAAGGAACAATACGAGGAGAAACATTGGTAATATGAACTGAAAGAGAATCCTGTAAGCGAGACAAACAGACAGAATTAGGAAGGAGGGGAAGAGGAACAGGAACTACAGGAAGGGTAAAAGTCAAAGCACGATAGAGGCGAGAGTGAGGACGCTGTAAGGATCGCGTAAGATAGCGAAGACTGTAGCGATCACAGCGATCCTGGAGAGACAAAGCCAGTGTCAGCGTACAAGCTGAGGGTAGGAGTTGAACGAAAAGCACCAGAGCTGAGGCACAACCCAGTATGGTGCAAAGGATCAAGACGGCGAAGAGTAGAAGGAGAAGCAGAAGAGTATGCAGGGCAACCATAATCGAGTTTAGACAGGACGAGAGGAATGCAAATAGAGGAGCGTGCGCTTATCCGCTTCCCAAGAAGTATGGGACAAAACCTTAAGTAGGTTAAGGGCCTTGGAGCATTCAACACGGGAGTAAGAGACATGAAGCAACCAAGACAAACGAGTGTCAAAGAATAAGTAAGTAATTATCAAAAGAAGGCACCAAACCGGAAAGGCTATGTAGCACCATCAAATGTGCGGAATAATCAGAAGGCGCTAAATATCACCAAGGATGCCAATACGAGAACAAAAATGCATACGGCGAACGATATCAAAAGTATCAGTCACCAAGAATTCTATTGAGGGACAGATGACCGCGAGGGGCGGTCGGAAGGCGTCAAAACTACAAAAGAAGGTCGAAAGAATAATCAAAACAGGCAAAAGGTCGGCAGGAAATGACAATTTGATAAGAGAAGAGGGGGGAGAAAAATGAAAAACGAGGAAAGGGGTCTGGCAAAATTGGTAAAGGCAGCAGCAGGAGCATAAGGCTGCAAAAAGACAGAGGACTGACCCATGGAGCATCACACTCCTGCAGCTGCCCACGGGCCAGACAGTGAGGGCGTAGAAATTATGTAGAATTTCCTGTAATTGTTGTTGTTGTAGGATTTCCTGTAGAAGTTGTAGAAATTATGTAGATTTCCTGTAGAAATTGATTTTTACAGAAAATCTACGAAATTTCTACAGAAAATCATGTAAATTTCTGTAAAAGTAGAATTTATGTACAAATTACGTAGAACTTCTGTAGAAATTTTCTGTAAGTAATTATCAAAAGAAGGCACCAAACCGGGAAGGCTATGTAGCACCATCAAATGCGCAAAATAATCAGAAGGCGCTAAATATCACCAAGGATGCCAATACGAGAACAAAAACGCATAAGGCGAACGATATCAAAAGTATCTGAGTCACCAAGAATTCTATTGAGGGACAGGTGACCGTGAGGGGCGGTCGGAAAGCAAGACACACGCTCGTCCTGAAAGTCAGGACATTCAAGAAGGACATACACGACAGTAAGAGGGACAATGCATCTAGGACAATAAGGAGCAGGGCGGCGCTCCATCAAGTGACCATGGGTTAAGCGAGTATGGCCAATACGCAACCTCGCCAGAGCTGTTTCCCACCGCCGGTTACGGTGGTAGGACGGCCACGAGGAAACACAACATTTAAGAGTACATAGTTTGTTACCAGTAACAGACAACCAAGAAGCCTGCCAACGGGTAAGGACGGAGGAATGGATAACCGGGTAAAAGTCGGAATACCTTTACGAGAGATGGGACAAGAGCGGACAGCTTCCTTGGCGGCAGCATCCACACGCTCATTTAAAGACACACCAATATGGCTGGGAACCCAACAAAACTCAACCGACTTAAATTTACTGTGAACAAGAAACGGCCAATGCTGGATCTCGACAACTACTGGATGAACCGGATTAAAGGACCCGAGAGCCATGAGGGCACTACGAAATTTCCTGTAGAAATTTCTACAATTTACATAATTTCTACAGGAAATCAAGTAATTTTCTGTAGGATTCCTGTAGAAATTATGTAGCTATCCTGTTGAAATTTATATAATTTCTATAATATATTTATAGAAATACATTATAGAAATTATATAAATTTTTACAGGAAATCCTACAATTTCTACAAAAATGCTACAGAAAATCTCTATTACAGAAAACTACATGATTTTCTGTAGAAATTATGTAGATTCTGGTAGAAATTATATATAATTCAGTAGAATTACTGTAGAAATTGTAGATTTCTATGGAAATTCTACAAGAAATCATATAGAATGTCCATAGATTTTCTGTAGAAATTACATAATTTTTACAGGAAATCTATATAATTTCTACAAAAAAAAATCTTTTTACAAAAAATTACATGATTTTCTGTAGAAATTATGTAGATTCTGGTAGAAATTATATATAAATTCTGTAGAAATGAAGTAGAATTTCTGTAGATTTTGTCAAAATTTCTATAGAAATTCTGTAGAAAATGATTTTCTGAAAATCTACATAATTTCTACAGAAAATCATGTAATTTTCTGTAAAGAGAGATTTTCTGTAGAAATTATGTAGATTTCCTGTAGAAATTACGTAGAATTTCTACAGAATCTACAAAATTTCTACAGGAATTCTTCTTAATTTCTACAAAAATGCTGCAGAAAATCATGCAATTTTCTGTAAAAATAATGTAGATTCTGGTAAAAATTATATATAAATTCTGTAGAATTTATGTAGATTTCCTGTAGAAATTATGTACAATTTCTACAGAAATCTACACAATTTATATATAATTTTTACCAGAATCTACAATTTCTACAGAAAATCATGTAATTTTCCATAATTTCCTGTAGAAATTCTGTAGATTTCCTGTAGAAATTATGTAGAATTTCTGTAGATTTCCTGTAGAAATTATGCAGAATTTCTACAGAAAATCTACATCCTTTGCAGATGACAGTAGGATTTTCATGAGAGTTGGCAACATAGAGGACACGGCAAACCTGAATCAGATGTAGATCAGGTCTTTCTATGGGCTACAGAAAATAATATGGTGTTTAACGAG